TTGTTCGCCTGCCATTGTCTTGTGGCATACTTTTGGGCAATTTGCATATTTCGTTAAGCAGCAGTAGCAGCAGCAGCTGCATCATCTGCTCCTTGTGCACCAGCAGATGTCCTGCTGTGTCCCGGCTGCAAGAACTCTTTCACTGTAGCCTTTCGCTACAGTTTCCGTTTTTCTCTCTTTTCCGTTTCCGTTTCCGCTTCCTTTGTCTTTGCTTTCAGTAAATATTTACACACACACACACACACACACACGTGGCCCGAGCTCTAATTAAGAATGAAGGCTTCCATTTTACTAATTGACACAATGATTAATGCGATTGTCTTGGCATTCAAGCACCTTCGGCTTGATTTTTTCTTAAATAACACACAAGTGGGAAATAGTTAAATAACGTTTAAAGTTTTTTATAAAATTTTAAGCTAAGATTATAAAGTAAAAATCCTTAAACCCTATTTTTAATAAGAATTCCAAAATTTTGTAGATAAAATCTCCTCCACTTCCTGCATCCTTATTTCCTCTAGGATTTTATTTAAGACATTTCTAGGCTCAATAGAAAGACCTTGTTATCCTTAAAGACAATCCTTGGTTAGGACTATATTCCATATAGCCTAATGCCTGTGTGTTTTGTTCTAATAAATATTTAATGAGAAACCGTTTATGCCAAGTTCCCCGCTTAATTAGTTGCAGCTTCAGTGGGGAATGTCCGAGGTTCTGCCATCGAAATTTCCGCAGAATGCAACAACAGCAGGGCAACAGCAAGGGGGTGGGGGGAAAGGACATTGGTTTTTGGGATCCCAGCATCGGCATCATAATCGTTATGCCCCGCCCATTTAATTAAACTTTGCAACCCTTGAGGGGTCACTGCCAACCCCCCCCACCCGTTACCAAAAATTGTGGCCTTGTTCTGGCTTAATTGCTAACACGCATATACACACAGGGGATACACTGATCATAATGAGAAAAAAGAAACAAAATAGAATTATATTTATAAAAAATAATTAAAAATTAATATATATACACAAGTTCGATATTATTATACATTTCGTTAAATGTATTATATATATTTTTTTCATTTTATTTGATTTTTTTTTATATATTTCTTATATTTCATTATTTTATTATATTTTTTAAATATTTTTTTTGTAATATTTTGTTTATTATATTATTAATTATAGTTTGTTTATTATATTTTTTTTATTATATTTTTTTTTATTATATTTTTTTTTTATATATTTTTTTTTTATTATATTTTTTTTTTATTATTTTTTTTTTATTATATTTTTTTTATTATATTTTTTTATTATATTGTTTTATTATATTTTTTTTATTATTAATTTAACCTACACAAATCTCTAATAATTTATATAGTCCCAATATCATTTTTCTCAGTGCACACGCACACACTAATGCACAGCGACTTTGTCTAGCCCCCAAAAAGTATGCAATAAAAATTAATGAGCGGGAAAATTTTTATTGACGCGCCTTTGGCAATGCATAAATGAATAATGCCCCCAGGGAAAGCATAATGAGAGAACTCTCTCTCTCTCTCTCTCTGTGTGTGTGTGTGTGTGTTATTGTGTGGTTATTGGTCTGTGTTTCGCTTAATGTTTGCCTGTGTTTGTGATAGGAGGGAACATGGACACGCCCCCACTGTAAAACTAGGCAAACAACGTCATTGTTCGAGCAGCTGGAGCGGCTGAACAAACTCCGGTCTCTTTCGGTCTGATTTGTGGCCACTAAAAGCTTCTCTGACATCAGCCGAAGGACATGCCGGGGACGTCACACTCAGGACATGCCAGTGGCCAAATATAAATGAGCTGGGGGAGGGGGGATACACACGTGTGGTGATAAACAGTGGGATTTAATGTTCAAAAATATTATTATATTTATGTTTAAAAACTTTTAAAAATTAGTTTAAATTTTTAAATAGGGGAAATCAGGCCAAAAATGCCTTATTTTTTATTCGGAAATCTGTTCTGAGTTATTCTTATATATATTTTAATAAAATCAATAAATTTTCTTTGTTAAAATGTAACTTATTTCCTAAATACCACTGTGCGGCGCCTTATGTCTGAGCCTAAGAAGTGCCCATTGTCCAGTTAACCCACATTTTTGCATCCTTTTTCCTTTGCTCTACTCTTCCCTCATAATTGCAGTTCAAAAAAAAAAAAAAAATTGCGCATACGCCCTGTGAACTGCAGTGGCTTTGAGCAGCCCAACCGCAAATTGAATCAATGCGGCAGGCTTTGTGTTTGTCTCAGTCATTAGCCGACCCCAAAAATAGGTTTTGGCCAGAAGCATTGCAAAGCGTGCTAAAAGGGAACCCTCGAGGTCAAAGGCCGGAAGGAAGAAAGGCAGGCAGGCGGGCAGGCGGGCAGGCAGAATAGCGACTGAAACACGAAAACGAAAACTTCTTTATGACATCACCAAAAAATATATATACAAAAAAAGGCCAAAAGGCCCCCAAAAGTTGACCAAAACCCGCGGGGGCTGCGCGTGCGATGTGCGGCATAGGATGTGCGATGTCCGATACGCGATATGCAAACTAAACGATGGCACGTGACCACACACACACACAGACACACACAGCGGAGGAACTCACGCACAAACAAAGCAGCAGAAGAAGAGCAGGAGGAGCAGAAGGAGGAGTAGGTAAGAGGAAGTAGGAAAAGCAGGTCCTTAAAGGTGCTCAATGCGGGCACGTGTGCCTCTTTCAAAATAGAAATTGCGTTCCAAGCACGCTCCAAGGTGCATATATAAAGCCGGAAATTAAGTGTAAGGGGGGGGAATATATTTTATGTATATTTAAAAAAAGTAGTTAATATTTTATATATTTAAAAATATTACAAAATATTTAAAGTTGCTTCAGGGACGGTATAATTCTATTTATTTCCTCAGTCTAAAAATATTGAAAAGAGGAAATTAAATAGGAGAAATATATTTTTGATATATTAAGAAATATTATTTAATATTAAATATATTTTAAAATAATATTAAATATTTACAATGGTCTCTGAGAGAGTAATTCTATTAAATTCCATAGTCCAAAAATATTAAAAAGAGGAAATTGAATAGGGAAAATATATTTTAGGTATATTTAAAAATATTTGTTTATATTTTATATATTTCAAAATAATATTTAATATAAAATATATTTTAAAATAATTTTAAATATTTACAGTGACTGCAGAAAGAATAATTATATTAATATTCCCTAGTTCAAAAATATTTTAAAAAGAGTTTAAAGCAAAGACTACACTGACATTTAACTAAAAATTTCCACCTTAGCTTATTGAAAATTATAAAATAAAAAAACCAAAAATAACTATAGATTTTTTTCGAGTAGATTTTCAGCTAATTACGTTGTCTTTGGTCCCTCTTCTCTATTTATTATCTGCGGAAGTGTCCGTCAGAGATTGCGTGCTGACCATTTAGCTGGCCACGCCCCCCATCCACCAATTTGCAGTTTATTCTTTTTTCCTTTTTACCTTTCTGCTGGCTTTTCCTGGCTTTCCCTAGCGTAATCTCCACTCTCTGCCCCCACTCAACTCTACACTCTCCACAATCCACGTAGTCAAACGGTTAACACAACAATTTGCCGAAGGATTTTTGTTATCGCCAAGAACGAAATTGCAAAAAATACAGAGAGAAATAAGGGAGTAAGAAGAGATAAAAAATTTCACAAATAAAATTGAAAAAGTGGGAAATATATTTTGATAATTAAAAATATTTAAAATATATTTTTAAGATTTATAAAAATAACAAAATTTTTGAAATCATTTAAAGATCCTTTTAACAGTGCCTTGGAATGGGCTTTGTGTGTGTGTGTATTGTGTGCTAACTTTAGTCTTTCGTATGTTTTATTGCTGCTTTCCCGGCATCTGTGGCACCTGTCGTTAAGGGGGGAGGAGGCGGGGGGAGGATTGTTCCAGGCGTTGTCACGTTTCTCCAAATATTTTGCAATTTTCCACAGATTTTATTTTCTCCATTGGCTTGTCTGTTGTCGGACTTTTTGAGTTTCATTTTCATTTTCATTTTGATTCTTGTTTTTGTTTTATTTTTGTTTTCGTTTCGAGTTTTCTATTTTTTTTTTCTTGCATATATCTTAGCCTCGCTTGATTTGGCCTGAAAGCAAATTGGCTTTATCCCAACACGTTTCTGAATTATAAACGAGGAGGGGAGATAGAGGGGGACCTTGACTGTGCAAGCCTTCAATTATGCACACACTTCAGGGGGAGGCAGGTTGGGAGCTTTAGAAAAAGGGGACACAGGGACACGGGGACACACGCACAAATCTGTAAATTGCATCTAAGTTGTTAGAGTTTCCATCTCCCAGGCTCCTCTCTCGTGGAGCAGCCAAATGGCATAGCAAATGAGAAGGGCAGGATGTCCCTAAAAGGACGAGCTGGAAGAGCAATCAGGGGATGATTCAGCTGCACCTCCCTGGGATGTGGATGTGTGTGGGTGGTAATAAAAATCCGCTACTTTGTGACAAAAAAAAAAAGAAGGAAAGTAAAGATAATAACCATTATTTACAATGGAACACACACGGTATGTCATATTTTTGCCATTATCCTTGAGCCGTGTCATATATCCCTGTGCCACCTTTATGTCCTATATATCAACTACTATATATGTACATGCTATATTCCTGATCATCTTTGTCCTCCATTTGTATTATGCAAATCCTTATCCATATATAATCGCCATTATTCTCCGCTGATTGCCATTTGCAGGCACTCAACTTGATTTAGGTCCCAGTCACGCCCCCTGCTCCTCCATATTTCAATACTTTTTCCCCCTCCCCGAGTGGACATGGAGGAGAGCTGGCTAAATTTATACAAAAAATAAACTTGATGCCAAAATGGCGAAAAGCGTGCATGGGTGAAGTCGGGAAATACCCACAAAAATATATATTTCGGGGGGCGTTAAAAGCTGACCTTCCAAAAAATAATAATAAGAGCAGACTGGCTGTGGTTTTTCAGTCAAGGCTTTGCTCTTACTTCCGACAGTCACAGCTCTAAGTCAATTCGTATTCGAATCTCTGCTCTCATATATTTATAAAAAAAAAGAAAAAGAAAACCCAAACCATAACCATAACCATGGAACCTCTAGTCCTGTTCCTCTTGACCTTCATTGCCTCAGCCTTAGCCGGGGGCTTGGAGGAGGATGTCCTGCAGCTGGGCGACGAGGATTTCGATAGCACCCTCAAGCAGTACGAGACCACCTTGGTGATGTTCTATGCACCCTGGTGTGGTTTCTGCCAGCGACTGGAGCCCGAATATGCCAGGGCCGCCGAGTTGGTCAAGTTCGATGAGCCGCCCATTAAGCTGGCCAAGATCGATTGCTCGGAGGCGGGCAAGGAGATATGCCACAAATACGCCATCCAGGCATATCCCACGCTGAAGATCTTCCGGCAGGATGGTCTCTGCCAGGACTACAAGGGACCACGTCAGGCAGCGGCCATAGCCGATTTTATGCGCGTCCAGGTGAGGCCCAGGATGTACAGGAAATCCGTGAAATCCTTGGAACAGTTGGCCAAAATGAAGCGCCTGGCCCAGCTGCTGGAGAGCCAGGACATTGACTCCAAGTTGGCCAAGATCCTAAAGAATCGCTTGAATGAGCTTTATTACAATTGAAGTGGGGCCAGGATATGTCTTTGTATTTTTTCATGGGTGAAGTTTTAACAATTTCAATGTATTTTTTATGTGTTTATTAACAACAAAATATTAAAAGGGGGAAGGGGGCCTTAAAAAATAATTTGTATTATTAATATTTACTCTCTGAAATTCTAGATATTCATGATATTCATGATATTCAAAACGAAATTATTATTTTTATTATTATTATTTACTCTCTGAAAAAGGATATCCCCGATATTCATGATACTAACGCCTCTGGCCTCCGATTAGCCATCATATACATATATGTGGACTTTGGAATAAATGAATAATATGAATAAATCGTTCCACTTATTCAAATGTTATCGATTTTTTAATGGCCGACTTCGCCCTTTGGCCCCCGAACCGTTGGCGATTAATTATGCGTCGCTTTCGGGCAGCGTTTCAAACTCAGACTCCGGAAGCAAGGACTCGCCGCAAGGACCACCGTGTCTGGACCTCGTCGGAGCAGAGAGAGAAAGACAAACAGCAGAGTCGATGGACAGCCGCAGCAATGGAGAGCTCAATCAATTCCGGCAAAATGATGGAGCAACCTCCTCCATGGCCCAGTTACGGTTTCTCTTTCTTTCGATACTTTTTTTTGTACACCGAAAGATGCGAAAAAGAGGCCTCTGGGAATGCCTAAAATTATAGAGGCCACACACTTTTCTTTTTCCAAATAATTTCATAGGAACATTTTATATTGTTTATGTTTTAAAAACATATTTTAAAGCCTTGAAACGGAAGCAAGGAGGATAAATAATCAAATATTACTAGATTAATCGTATTTATTTGTTTTCGATATATATCTTATCGATATATTTCCATTTTCAACCCCGATAAATAATTGTTTTCTTTTCTTATTCATTTTTTTTTTAGATTTCCTTCTACTTTTTTTCTCCCGATGCTCTCCATGTGCTCCTCCATCATCCTCTGGTCACGCACACTGTGAAAAACCAATCAAACAAGCGGAAGATGCCAACCGGAAGTCGCAGGGCCAAACTGGACACGAATCGATGATGATGATGACACAATGGCAATCATGGCATAACGAACCTGATGCTGAATGGTGAGTGTAGCGGCAATGGAATTGAAATCGAAATCGAAATCGCAATCGAAATCGAAATTGGTTTCGGATTTGAGCTTGGCAATCACATTTGTCACTCAGATGTCAAATTTTAATGGATAATAAGGGGTGGTTTTGTTTTTAAATATGTTTTAAAGGAAATTAATTAAGGTAGAGCCTTGCCTCACCTTTTGGTAAATACTTCTTTATGGAAATACTATGGATAATAGGGGTTTTTTCTTTCTTATTTTTCACCTTTTACTTAATACTCCTTGAGTTTCTCAACTTAATGATTAAAATCCAAACAAATTACGAGTGTAATCCTGTGAAATTGCTGAACAACAGGCACATGTTGTTCGCAGGATGAGCATGAATTTGAACTTGAGCGGAAATCAATTGATTGGCGGAGTTCACGCTTGTGCGACTTCCGCCCAGCTGCAATTAAATGTGTGCACAACAACAGGCTGGACCCAACTTTATTTTATTTTCCTCCCTTCCTTCCCCCCCGACCCGAGGCAAAGCTGTCTTCTACTGACTGCTTGAAAATTAATCACTTCGGCAGCTGCCAAAAGCGAAATGCTTTGTCATATATATCCTCCCCCTTGAATCGTTTACCAGCAAGTGCCACGCCCACGCCCACAGCCACTTGTATCAATCACGCACCGATTGTTGTTGAAAAATTGTCGGACATGTACAATAATGTTTATCAAATGGCATCTGCTCTTGTTGAGAGAAGGGACCACACAAGGGTGGGTATATGTTATATATATCTCCCTTGATTTGTGGCTCGACAAGGTGGCTATGGGTTTAAGGATCTCAAAAATCAAACAAAAGAAATGATATGAAACTGAAAGCAGCTGAGAGTGTTAAAGTGCATTTGTAATGGCCTTAACTGTAAGATTAAAGCTGCCTCTTTTCTGATTTATGGTTTCTCCGAGTGGAAATGTTGGCCAACTTAATACTGTCGACACTCGAGAATCTGACTCTGTAACTGCAGTTATGCTCGGTTGAGGAGGAGTTACTCTACCTTTTGTTGAATGCATTTAAAATTCTTCCACTTTATATATAAATATAGCAAAAAAGAGTATCATTTCTGGCGCCTTTTCCTGCTGCCATGTCTCGATATTTATTGTTGGGCTTGAACTCAACTCAACTCGACTCAACTCGACTCGACTCGACTCTGGGCTGTGTTTGCATTTAAGCTTGTTTTTGGGGGGAGGCCAGAGAGCTCACTTGGCTGGCTGGCGTTTGCCTTCTTGATATGAGCTCCATTGAGGCGGTGCCAGTGTTTGCCCAGGGCAAGCTGTCAGTGCGATGAGATGGCAGCTCCACTGGCTTTGCCAGAGGAAGAAGGTCTTTTTGGGAATATTCATCGTTGGGCAGGGACCTAAAAGTGCAGTAGCTTCCCCATAAAAGCCCATTTCGCATTTCAATGCACTTCACTTCACATTCACATTCACATTCACATTAAATATTCGCTGTCAAAGGCATGTGTCAGGCTTTAGACCTTGGTCCCTTTTCAATTAATGCCCAATTAATTCACTGCCAGGCTGAGCTTTGACAGCTCATCATGTGTCATACGTGGCGTATGCGTGATAATATTGCGCATACGACATGGTGTCGTTGTTTTGCGGTGTAAAATAGGGGGGAGGGTTAAAATTGGAAAGCAATTAATTAAAATAATGAAAGTACTTCTTATGATATTTATAGTGTTTTCCGCGAACTTGACTTGTTTTTAAAGCATTTATTATAGTGGAAAATGTATGGATAAACAAACAATTTTCTTTGCTTTGGTTTCATTGTTTAAATACAATAAATATAGGGAAAAGTGTTGTTACTTTTTAAGCTTGAGCTTCAAGCTGTCTGCGATCATTCGATATGCACATTTCACCATCAGCCAAGCAAATCGAAACGAAAGGCTGTCAGGCTAACGAACCAGCACACAGCACACATGTGTGCACTTAGAGAAAATAGTGGGGAAAATTCTAGAAAATATAATAGAAAAATGCAACTGAAATAGATGCTTGAAAATTTAAAATAAATAAATAAAAACACTTGAAAATAATTTGTTTTCTTTATATTTTTACATTTAAAATTTCTTATATATTTTTAATATATTGTATATTTTGTAAATTTCTTGTATTTTTCATCTTATTATATTTTTTAACTATATATATATATTTTTTTAATATTTTTAAAATTAAATTTATATATTTTTTTTATATATTTTATATATTTTATATATTTTTTTTTTACATCTTTAATATTTCTTCGTCTTCTTTTCTTTCTGTGTCTTCTCCCACATTTGTATGTACCCACTCATGGGCTTACATTAGGAAAGTTAAGAGGAAAAGCACTCAAATCTGGCGGCACTTTAACGCACTTTGCTTATGGGCCGCAAATTTTCCTGCATTTTCCCAACGATTTTCGTTGCTTTTGACTTTTAAGTGCAGTGCCAGGAAAAGTGAATGCCGAAACGTAAAGTGCGGAACACATAAATCAAGCATCAATCATTCATCATCAATCATTTGCATTGAGAGTAAAAAATAGAAGGGAAAAGAAGCGAATCAAATAAAAGGGATAAGCACTCGGAAAAATAAAAAACCAGAAGCTGCTTGACTTTGATAAATAATTATATGAAATATTTAAACCCTCAAAAGGTATTTTTAAATTTTAAAAATATTATTCTGGGCTAGTTTTGCTTCTAAGTTGAAAATTTTTCTTATTAATTGCAATAAAAAAATATTTAGAAAATATTTAGAACATAATATTTATGAAGATAATTATAATAATAATTATATTAAATATATATACTCTCAAATATTTCAATATTTCATATATTAATATTTTTTTTATTTTATTTATTTTGTGTCTCTAAATTTCCATGCACATTTTAATACCATTTTCCCTGTTGATCTGTTTTTCCAGGAATTTTCCCATTGGAATGCGCTCCTTTGTCTGTGAGCTTCCAGCTCCGATAACTACAGCTTCGAATTCCTGCACTAAAATTGCATATATGGCCACTTTGAGTTGTTTGTAATCCGAATGCCCCGCAGAGTCCTTTTGCCATAAATTACGCACATGTACTCGGACACTTCTGACATCCTGCAGGCAGCAGGCAGCAGCATCCCCAGCAGCAACATCGTCATCATAATAAAAATGTATATATGTATGTTCTCCTCCTCCCTCGAGGTCATACCAGTTAGTCCCAGATCCTTGGCAGGATTCCATCTCAGCATCATCTCCAACAGCATCCAGTTTTTACATTCACATCAGCGGCAGCTCAGAGCAGCTTTTCAGCATTTGCTCAAAGTAAATGGCTGCAAATTGCATTTTAATTACATTGTTGTGCTCCTGCGGCATGCAGCATGTGTGTGTGTGGCTCCGAGGTCCTTGCAACAGGACAACATGGGACGAAGGACACTGGCAGAAACGAGAAGAGGCTATCCCTTTGCCCAATTAAAACGCTACTCATCAAATCAGAGTCCCACTTAACCTCACCTTGGACTTCAGGTAAGTCTGATGTTTATTTTTCACCCTTTGACCTACCATAACAATGTTATGAAATTGAGATCCTTGTTTTATTTGGCTAGCAAAAAATATATTTAATTATTTATATATATTTTAAAATTGCATGTATTTTATACAATCATTGTTTGCCCAAAGAAATCCGTTTTTAAAACCGATTACAAGGCTTAACTTGAAGATTCCGCTTGTAAATTCGCATTGAGCTGCTGTCAAGTGCAGGGTTTTCATGGGTTTTCTACAACAAAAAGAAAAAAGAAAAGAGAAAAGGAAAAAGACAACAAAAAATTAGAAAAAAATGCAGAAAGAGGTAAATCAAGAAGCCAGTTAGATAATATACAAAAATATATATAATATTAAATATAAAGATAATATTTTGTGATTTTAAAATTTTACTAATTTTTGATATTATTTGAAAAAATTAAAAATAAAAAATAAATTAATTAATTAATAATAGAATAATATTATTTATATATATATATATATATTTTTTTTTTTTTAATTACTTATAATTATAATAAAGGGAAATAGTGATGAAAAAAAAAAGCACTGTACCATTTGCGTTCTAGAAATGAGATTTAAGTTAAATTATTATATTTAAAAAAAATTAAAAATTTATTAAATTACAGAAAAGTTTAATTTTTTTATTTATTTTTTTTTATTAAAGTAATAATAAAGAAAAATAATAATGGAAAGTGTGAGTGTTTCTGTACAGTTTTCGTTATTGGAATGAGCTTTAAGTTAAATTATTATTATTTTAAATCTTAAAAAAATAATACAATAAAAACCTTATAATAAAAAATCATAAAGTTTTTTTAAATTTTTTTTAATAGTTATAAAAATACTAATTTAATTTCAAGCTGATTTACATAACGGAAATTAAACAGTATTTGTTTTCCATAAATACTTTTGAATAATTTTTTATAATTTTATTATTATTATTATGATTATATATTAATATATAATTAAACAATTTTTTATATTAAAAAATAATAAAATTATAATAAATTGTAAATTGCAAAGCTGATTTCCTCAACGAAAATTTAACAGTATTTCTCCTCCCTCACTATTTTCTTCCCTTAATCTGCTGATTAAACAATTTAATTAATTGCATTTTAATTGCATTGCAATGTTTTGCCTGAGAAATGCACATAAATAAAAACTGGACATGCGGTGCAAGGACTTCACATGCATTTAAATTTAAATTCCCTTTTTTGTTTGTATATAAAAACCAGCTGCATGTCCTTGGACCATAAAAAATATCTATATGAAACTGGAAAAACCCATCAAATGTTTGTTGTACTAAATATAAAATTTATAAATTAATAATTACCATAAAAACCAAAAATTCGGAAATTTTATTTTATTATTTTTTCTTTTCATTACTTGAAGCTAATTAATTTCCCTTAGCACTTTTCCTTTTTTTTTTTTTGACAGTCTGCATTTTCCAAATATTTTTTATGACCTCAAAAAAAAAGTTGTGCCAAAAAGTTGGCTTATTTTTTGTGTGTGTTTTGTTTTTATCAAGCCCCAAAAAAATATAAAAAAAAAACAAGGATATGGCAGGGGAATATGCAAGGCATGCGAAGAACACGAAACGGAAAACGCAAACTTTTTCGCAGCATTTTTCTTTATACTCGCCCGATGGCAAGCCAAGCAGATTTGCAGCGTTTTTATTTATAAATTCCGAACCCGCCCCGCATTTCTTTCTTTTTTTATGTGAGAGGGCGTGCCCGAGGGGTGGTGAGTGGGCGGTGGGTGGTGGCCTGAGCTTTAGCTTCGGCTTTGGCCTTAGCTGTTTCTGGATTTTTGGTTACGTGCAAGCGGCCAGAGATTAGCTAAGCAGAAATGACGACCGGAAAGGGTAGGGTAGAAGCGGGCATAGCAGAAAAGTGGTTGTATTTGGGGTTTATATTTAGTTGATATTTTTTATTAATCAAAAGATTTTCATTTTCTTTGTTATAATTTTAGCTTGTTAATTTATTTATATTTTTTTTTGTATTTTATTTATTTTTCTATATTGTTTCCCTCTATATTTTTCTTCTCTATTTTTCTTCTCGTGAGGTTCTTGGCCATCTTTAGAGCCTTGAGTTAGCCTTAGCTTCATGCATGGAATTAGCCGCGTTAATAAAATGCCAGCGACTGCGGCAGCTAAATTGGCAGTTGGGGATTTTCTTCGTCATGGCCACCCCCCCTTGCCCCCTCCTCTTGACTTGGCTTAACTTTCCGGTCATCCTCTCCCTTTCTATCCTCTTTCTCCTTGTCTTTGGGCAGCTCCGAAAAACTTTTGCTCGTTAAAATAAATTTCGCCCTCTTCTATATACCAAAATAAAAACAATAAAAAATACAGCTACAACAAAATAAATAAAATACAACAAAAAAAAAATAAGAAGAAAAATAAATAAAACAAGAAAAAAATAGAAGAAAAATAAATCAAATACAAAGAAATTTGCAAGGATAACAGAGTTTGAGATAATCCTTAATTTCTAAGATAGGCATTCCAAGCTGTGATTGCAATTAAATTTTAAGTTTTCACCCTTTTTTTTATAATTTTTATTTATATTTATAATTTATATAATTATAATTATAATTTTTTTAATTTTGGCTTACAAAAAAATACTGGAAAATGAAAATCAATTGAATTAAATATTTAATTAAGTTAATTTATATATACAAATATAATTTTTTTATTATTATTAATTTTTGTGTAGTATTTATTACTTAATATATATTTTTTTATATATTCCCTACAACCTTTTGCATTATTATTTTTATTACTTTGTATAGATTGTTAGTACCCCCTGCTGGGGCTGCATAAAACGCTTAATATTTCTTCTTCTATTTTACTTCTTTTTTCCTCCCATCTATGTTAGGGCTTTATCGTTTTTGTTGCTGCGTGAAAATTTACGCGCTGCAGCTTTTATGGCTCATGAGGACCCATTGCCGTCTAAGCCATTGTCTTTGGGTCCTGTTCCTGGCCATGTTTATGGGCATTTTTGGCTGGCAATTAAATGCGTCGTCGTCCCTCTCTTTCGCAGCCCATATGGGCATCTCTCTCACTCTGAGTTTGAGGGGCTTTTCCAGGGGTTTTTCCTCTCGTGATGTAGTAGTTGCAGTGACGCTAAAAACTTGCTAACAGGGGGCAGAGAGTAACTTTTCCGATCCGACTTCAGAAAGTTTTTCGTTGGCCTGGGAGAAAGGTGGAAACAGTGGAAACAGGGGGGGCACCGGCAGGTCAGTTGGGGGTAAAAGTTGTAAATTGTTTTTATTGTCAGCAGCATGTTCTCAATCTCTAGTATTTTCGGTATTTCCCTGGAGTTTGACAAGAATTCGCTTCGGCTTCACTTGGCCAAGTTTGCTTAGCTAAGGGCGATCTACTGACTTCATTTGCAGACTTGCAGCTACAAGATGTGGCTTTAATATTCAAGGGGAAATTGCAGTTGCCTTAAATTTTGATGGGAAATTTAAGATAAATATTTATTTTTGTATTGTATTCATATTTATTTTATTATAATATTTTATAATATTATATTATACTCTTTATACACTTTAATACAATTATATTTATTTTTTGTTTATTAAATTAAACGATTTATTTATTTATATAGTATATTTATATTTATTTATTTATTTATATTATATTCTTAATTATTTATTTTCACCCATCTAAAGTGTATTATTATTTATTTTAATATATTTTAAAATTTACAACGTAATGAAACAGATTTAAAGACTTTTTTTATATAGTTTTTGGAGCTACTTTACTTGAGTTTATTTTGTCGCACGTCTAGATTTCTTATGTGTATGATTTGTTCTTAATGTTTTCCCAGCACACTCTTGGGCGGTGCCAAAAATTTTCTACTCCACTTTCCATCCCAAAAGGCAGTTGCTATTTGAAAATGCTCGTCACGTGTCATCGCCTACGCGTAGTGGCAAAACAGGACAACATTTTAATGCTGTCTCCGCTTGATCTTTAAGGGAGAGAGCGGCGGTGCCTTTGAATAAATGCCTTTTTGATTTTAAATGGTAGCTAAAAAACAAGAAACGAAGCTAAATTCGGGGCACTAATGTATGAGACATATAAAACGTATATTTTGGTTTTGATAAACTATAGAAAAACTTTATTTTTTATATTGTACAAAATATAACAAATCATAAATAAATAAATCTTAAAAATAAATAAATCACAGCTCTGCCAAAAATGTCTTAATTTCAATTCGTTAAACATTTCTATGTTAGTTTTTCTGAAGGTTATGAATCTGCATACTTTATTTAATTATTTAAAAAATTAAAATTTTTAAAATATGTTTTAAATTTTAAATATGATCAAATTTTTGAAAAATGGGTCCCTTTTTTTGGGAAAAATCAAAAACTAAAAAAGCCATAACTCTGTCAAAAAAGCATTTTAATTCGGAAAGCGGCGTTATGTTAGTTTTTATTAGGTTAACAAGTCTGCATACTAGATTAAATTATTTTAAAAATTCAAATTTTGGTCAGCTTTTGATAATTTTAATGATGTAACCCCTTATCAAATTTCGTGAAAATGGCTAAAAATTTGTTTTCCCTCGGACACGTCTTAAACGATTCTCCTTTTAATGCTGATCAAGAATTTATAGGGTTTATAGGGTCGGAAATGATTTCTTCACCCAGAAAAATATTATTTTGTATTATAAAATCTGATTTTTTATATTAAAAAATTTCTTATAATTGCAGAAATTTTTTTTAAGAGAAACTCGTAAATTTCAAATCTATATATTATAAAATATATCCCACAAATGTTTTATATTTTCTATGTATATTTTAATATTATTATTATATTTATATTTTATAATTTATTGCTAGTACCTATTCTGTCTTCTTAGGAATATGGGGTATCTGTAAACATATATTTTCGATATATTTTCCATATATCTCTGTGCATATGTAAATCCAGTAAAGGTCACTTGGCTGACACTTTATTTATCAGGGCTTCTTGGCTTTTGTAAACAAACAGCGAGCAGAACTGAGGGCGCCGAAATAAATGAAAATAAATTAAAATTAAAGCGAAATAAATTACAAAATGCGCACTGCACACACACACACATACACACACACACGCGAAAGATTTTCTCGCAGTTTTCCCTCCCGAATTTCTCCAGTTGTTCGTCTGTTTTTGTTTTCGCTTTTATTTTCTCCCCGAGCTTTGTCACAGAATCTCTCGTTTGTCACGTACAAATGACGGACGCAAAGAATTTTTAGATCTTTTGTTTTAATCATAAATTGTAGGCCACCAGCGGTGGGTGGCAGTGGGTGGCGGTGGGTGGACAGCTACAATAATGTTTTTTGCTTTGCTGCGTAGTTTGCAATAAATTTCAACCCAGCCTGTCCTTTCTCTTAACATTTGAAGCACTTTACATTCATTTTGCATTTTTGGCTTAACGCTGATAAGGGAGGAAAGAAAGGCCCTGCCGAGTGACCAACTGACAGATCTTGGAGGGTGGGTGTTGGTGGTGTGTTCCAACTTTCCACTTTTCACTTGCCATCTCAAGACAAATGATAAGCGTTGACATTTTCTTCTTTTTTTCGCACTTTTCCCCTCCGCCGAAGTATTTTTTTGTATCTGCTTGTGATAAATTGCCAACAATCAAAATCCAAAAGCCAAAGTTTCTGCTGTCTGTTTTCGGGAAAATGGAAATTTAATGCTTGATTACCTAGAAAGGAGACAGAAAAGTAAAGAAAGGACGGAAGAAGAAAATTAAAATAAATATTTTATATAAAAAAATATAAATTAACAATTATTTATATATTTTATATGCAAACAAACTGTTTAATCTAGTGACAAATTAAGTATATACAAATTATTTAATTATTTATAAATATTATTTCCTTATAAATTCATCCAGAAAGATGAAAGGACTCGCTAAATATTTATTATCCTTTCAACTCTCTCTGGGACCCCTCCCCCCTCCTCCAACTTCCCTTAGTTCCATATTTTTGCCTTAATTCTTGGTTGGCCTTCGTTTTGTCACCATGAAACTTGTGTATCTTTTCATCTTTGCTGGCTGGAGTATCCTTATCCTGTGACCGCAAGCGCATTTGACATATGTATCTGTATCTTTGTATCTGTATCTTTGTATCTGTATCTTTGTATCTCTATCCCTCTTATGTCCTGGCTGGCGGGCATGTCAAAACTACGGACCCGTAGAAAATTTTCGAATTTAATTCAATTAGTTTTTCGTTGTTGTTGCTGTTGTTGTTGCTGTTATGTGGCTTTTTGTTGATTTCGTTTTTATGAGCAATTCAAGTAATGTTGTACCAACATATAACCTCGGTTCCCTGTCCCTTTTCCCTGCCCCGCCTGGGCTTACAAATATTTTGAGAATATATCTGGGGCGATGCCCATTCTTATGTTGTGGCTGGCCAATAAAAGGAGTAGGAGGAGCACACAAAAAATTGCCCCAAAAAAAAAAAAGGATCACTTCAAAGGACGAAGTTTTAGATACTTTCATTTGTCAAATGCTTTAGTTTGTAGTTTATGAAATATTTTAAACAATATTATTATTATTATTTATTTTATTTCATATTTCCTATTTCCCATTTGCGAATCTATAAAATCTTTTAAGATTTATTCCACACAAAGGAGTTAAGCCCCAACTTTGATTTTTATTCCAAACAATAATCATGTTTTCTATATTTTCTTCTTGTTTTCTATGTTTTTTTTTTGTGTTTCTGTGAACCAGAAACATGTACAAGCAATACACCCACGCCAGAAGGGTATTAAATCGGAAAAATGCCTACATGAAGGGAAATTTAACATGTGTTTGGGGGGAGAGTTTTCCGAATCGAGGGGGGAGGTCTTGTAGGCGGTATCTGACGAGCTCATCTTGTGGTTTTTAAGTGCTCTAACGGCATGTGCCCCCCTCTCTCTATTTCCTCCAAGGATTTTTTGCCTTTTTCCGTATGCTTTTCTTTTTTTTTTTTTAGTGATTTAAGAAAATTGATGGCTTTCTCTTCGCATGACTTGCCGATGGAGCGAGCTTCAAGCGAGAGCCAAGGCGTGACAATGCGAAAAAGAAAGAAAAGTAAGGAGGGGGGTGGCAAGGATCTTTTTAAAAATTCATAGATTTGATTTTCGTGCAGCGTATAAAGATGTTGGCACAATCCTCCAAAGGATTAGATGACCAAACAAGCGGAAAATATATGTTTTTTTGTGTGAGTTTCTTTTGGTTTTTTCTGGAAACAGGATTTATTTCGAGAGACAAAGTCGTAAAGGTGACAATAAAACTTGTGATGAGCCTTGTAAATAATAAGCTGAGATTTACAAGATGAAAACAAGATGATGATAGGATTAATTCTTGACAAGAAAATAATTTCTGAAGGATTTTAAGAGATTTCTCAAGGTTTTTCTTGAAACAAAGCTTCTGTGGACATGTGATAAAATTTTAAAAATATAGATATTACTTTTAGAGAATTTAAATATGTTTTTAAATTGCTTAGAAATATTCCTTGTTTTGTTTTTCATCAAAAATCTAAATTAATTCCTAATAAAACCCACCCTAAAGTGTTAATTAAACCCCTCACAACACACACATTTATTTGAAATGGAAATAAACCTGAAATGCTTTTTCGTTGCCAACACTCACAGACCGGAAATTAGCTCCTGGAGAGCCGCCTTCGAACCAATTTCAGACTCGCTTTGGTAGTGTCAACAGTCAACAGTCAATTGCAGAGCTCAAAGGGGGCCAAAATATACTCACGCAATGCAATTTGTGTCAACTCCCAGGACAATTCTCCTCTTTTTTCTGCACCCAAACTAGATTTAATTAAATCCTAGCCAAAAAAATACACAAATTTTCAGCATTTTCTCTTCTTTTTTTTAGGAGCCACGCAATGCGGCCGCCTGATGAGGGTGAAAAAGGAAGTGCGCCACGTGGCGTATACGCAATGCAAAAAAAAAAAAAAAAACGAAAAGAAAACACACACAAAACCCAGATAGAAACAGAGACAGAGAAGGAAGGAAAAACACTCAGCGAAATCGGTGTCATGTTAATGACCGATTAGCATGGCGTGTGTGTGCACCCGGGAGACAGGGTTGCGACAGGGTTGAACTGTGACCTGTCAGCTCCACTCGAGGCGAGCCTTCAAACGCACTTCCGGTGGCTGAAAGGCGGCGAGCAGAAGTTGCCAGTGCGGCGGGGAGTTTAATTGAAAAATCAGAGGCTAAAAAACTAGGCTAAAAAGGGAGAATGGAAAAATGGAGCAAAAAGAGAGAGGAACAAGTCTAGAAAGTTGGGTAAGTGCAAAAGAATTTAATATATACATTTTTTTTTAAATATACAAAAATATATAAAACACATAAGCTTTTGCTCTGACCTAATTAGGGTTTAGGAATTATATTTAATATGTATATAAAATATTTAAAAATATTTTATAATAATTATAATAAAATGTTTATTTTTAAATTATAACTAAGAGCAAATAAGACCCCTAAAAATAAATAATTTCCTTCTGAAACTAGGACAAAATAGAGGAAAAAAATCTAGAAACTTGGGTAATTCTAAAGGAATTAGTGAAGTTAAAGAAATTTGGTAAATTAATATATTAATTAATATATATAAAAATATATAAATTAATATAGAAAATACATAAGGCATTGCTCTGACCTGATTGACGTTAAATGTGTTTGGGCATTATATATAATATATAAATATAATGTTTAAAAATATCTAATAATACATTTTATAAAATGTCGTTTGTAAAATTACAACAAAGAGCAAATAATTCCAACTAAAAATATAAAATTTCTTACTTAAATGAAAGGCTAAATTTATATTTTCCCTCCAAAATTAATCCCTGACCTCAGAGGCACACTACTTGCTTTTAATTTATTTTTATTCTAATTTATTTGAGGAATTTCTCAGCTCAGAACTGACCTTTTGTATGAACACATTAAAAGCCTGGCCAAGTTCAATTTACTTATTATTTTTATGTATGCTTCTACATTTCCCTTTTTCCCCGTACTTTTTTCACATAACAAATTAAAATGTGGCACGCAAAAGGAATTCGCCAGGTTGATTTTTCTTCTTTTTTTTTTGGATAGGCGTGTCCACAAAATGTGAATTTTTTGCGTTTTGTTGCATTCCAAGGAAGTTCATAAATATCACGTAGGTTCTGCTAGGTCGTGCTAGGTGTTAGTTGGATATATACCCCTCTATATATATATATATATATATATATATATATATATGTATGAAACGTATATACCGCTCATATAATGGTTAAAATAAATTGGATTTCGCTTTATGCAAATTTATGCGCACAGATTGAGTGACATTAATGGATGATGAAGTCGCCAGCGTTGGCTATATAGTGGAGAATTCTTTTGTGGAATTGCTTTTGCAAAGGGAAAACCGAGAACTGGGAAACACGAACGTGCCTTCACTATGACCGCACATACATAGTCGTGGAACCACTCGAAGTTGTCATCTACCCCTGGGAGCAGACTTAGTGTGGCTTTTAGGAACCTCTAGGCACCTTTTAGGAACCTCTAAGAATCTTTTAGGAACCTCTAGGAATCTTTTAGGAACCTCTAGGCACCTCTAGGAACCTTTTAGGAGCCTCTAGGAACCTCTAGAAACCTTTAAAGAACCTGTAGGAACCTCTAAGAACCTCTAGGCACCTTTTAGGAAGCTCTAGGCACCTCTAGAAACCTTTAAGGATCCTCTAGGAACCTCTAGGCACCTTTTAGGAACCTCTAGGAACCTTTTAGGAACCTCTAGGAACCTCTAGGCACCTTTTAGGAACCTCTAGGAACCTCTGCACTGGCTGAGATAAATCTAAAATTTATATTTATAAATAAAATATGCTTGATTTTCTTTGTAGCCACGTTAAAAAATATTTCTTTTAATACAAATATAGATATTTTAATAATTTTATTGATTTATAAATTTTTTATAATTTAATTTTGGAAGTCTGGAACCTTAAAACAATGCTTTCTTGCTGCCTTGAAATGCTTGTTTTGCAACCTAAATTCCGGGTAAATTTTCTATAATTTCCCTTTAAATTTTAACTTTAATATAAAATATATACAAAAATATTTAAAATAAACCCCTAAAATATATATATAAATATATATATATATTTAGTAAAGAGTCTCCTTCTGTGTTCGTCCTTAGCAACGCTTGAAAAAACGCTTGTTCAACAAATTGCAATCACAAGCTGCTAGGCCACGGGGACAAAGTGAGAAGAAAAATTGTTGGCTTAATTAAGAATGAACAACAACCAAAAAAAAATACAAAAAAAAAAAAAAAAGAAAAGAAAATACACAGAGAAAAGGAGAATGCGGGATGGGGTGGCTGCTCTGCTCTGCTCTGCTCATTAAGCTGTTGTTGCTGCTTTATGGCCATTTAAATCATTTATGGCCAAGAGCATTTGAATGACAGGTGCGATGGCAGCAGACAACCTTGCTCATTATACGCCACCCCAAGCCCCTACTCCACCTCCCACCTCCCCCCGAAAAAACCAACCATTTTTAATTGTGTGTTTACGTTTAGAGGAGAGCCAAACAGCAAGGACATGGCTATCCTGATGGAATTTTCACAATTTCATTTCGAATGTTTGTTTGTTCGCTTGCCTTTGATTAATTTATTCATTTACTTAAAGTTTTGGTTTTTAGGGGCCCCCCAGCAGTTAATTGTTTTTATATTTTTTAAGGAGGAAATTTAAGAATGAAATGAAAAGCAGAAAACACCTTTCTAATAATAATTTCTAGCAATTTTGGAAGCGAAATTCCTTCGGCTAATTAAGGGTCATGTTCCATTTTTACAGAATTTTACAATGCTAATCGAATTGCTTTATTTTAATTTGTGTTTTTATTTCCGCTTTGTTTTTTGTTGTCAGGATGCTGTGTTTCTTTTCTTTTTTATTCCTTTCAGGCTGACCGGCGTCACGTTTCAGTTGGGGAAAGCAAATTCAATTTACGCTCATTACAAATAGGCAGCTAGCTATACATTTTATTTATTTTCCTTTTTTTACTTTAGGATTTTAGGGTAAGGGCCATAAAAAGCACAAAGTGAAAGTACTTGCAACAAAGAGGGAAAATCAAAGAAAATAGGTAGGGAAAATGTAAATACTCTAGTCCTTTTACAGAAAACTGTATACAAACAAAATGGGTTGAAAGACAATCCGGCTTTGACCTGTTTTTAAGTTATAAAAAGTATTCTTAATTTTTAAGGAAATATTTTAGAATATAATATGATTTTTTAGATATATAAAGGTTTGAAAGGATGTGTTTATAATTTTTTATCTTACTTTTTTCTTAGATTTCTGCATTAAATAAGAAATTGGATTAAAGAAAATCCTGTTTTCCAAAATCTAAAAAATGCTGTTAATTTTTTAGGAAATATTTCAGAATAAAATATAATATTTTACATATAAATAGCTCCTAAAAGATTTGCTTATAATATAATTTTAATATTTTTTTGATTCAAGTCTTTAAATTTTTTGTATTTAAAAGCATTATTCTGATATTTATTAATTTATATTGTTTAATTATTATTTTAAAATATTTTTTAAAATATTTTTGTGCAACTTTCAAAGATTTAAATAATTAAATTCTTAACTAGAAAGTTTTGTCTACTTACAAGCAATATTTATTTTTTTTTTCATAATATTTAATATAAACTATTTAATATTTTATTAGTTTTTATATTTAATTTATTATTTTCTAATATTTTTTCAAGTACTTTTTCGCTGTCCCTCAAGTAGTTCCCATCCCCTGCAGCTTCCCTTAAAATTTCCAAAGCGAAATTGGGGTGAAAAGTGTCCAATTTAGAGGCAGATCGAAGGGGCCTCGGGGGTCTTGGGGGGTGTTTCGGGTTGGGAAATAAAATTTAATATAATTACCTCCATTTGGGAGCCCTTCTTGCCCATGGATCCGCCGCCGCCCGTGTGGCCGCCGCTTTGTGCGGCATTCATGGTGTTATCGGTATCGGAATCGGCCTTGCTATTGGTGTATCGTCGATATCGTAATTATTATCGTCAAGGACTCGCGCGCGCACGATAAATTGTACAGAATTGGAATTTATATGTGTAATTTTTGCAAGTTTCCTTCGTTTTTTTTGGAAGATTTATCGCTTTATTTGAGTATGGACATTTGATTTGGTTGTAAGTATTGAGTTTTTGCCTTTGCTCTGCACTTTGGCACGCCCGAAATTCAAGTCAAGAGAAATAGGTTTATCTGCACAGCAAAAAAAAAAGTGGGGTTTTAAGTCTATCTAATATTTGTTGTTGAAATATTTTTATTTTATTTTTTAATTTTTATTATGTTTTATAACTTGCAAGATTGATATTTAGTTTATAATTATTGGTTTTAATGTTTTTATTTAATTTATTTCTTATTTTAAAATGTATACACCACTTAATTAATAATATAAAAAACAAACTAGAGGTTTTCGGGTTTAAAAAGTCACTTAAATAAATGGGAAATAAATTTATTTATGATTTTTTGTCATAGAAATCAAAGGTTAGCTTAGAAAGTGTGTATAGTATTTATTTTTTAATTAATTAAATCATCAACATATTTTAATAATATATTAATTTATATTTTAGTAAAAAATATATCCTTTTTTCGAAGGGAATAACTAGTTTTTCAATACAAATACTTTATTTAAAAAAAAGAATCTAAACAAATTCAAAATGAAGAAAAATGAAAGGAAAAATGAAAAGGCATCTTCAAAAATGCCGGACATTTTATAAAAAAATTAAAGAAAAATCCAAGGCAAAGCCTAAATTGATTAGAAAACTTTATAGAACAAGTTAGGTTTAACCGGACGGCCGAATATGTTCCTTAGTTGTCCTTAGTTTGTAGAAAAATCAAAGGGAAATGCCTTAGATCAAGGTCCCTTTTCTTCCCCATAATTTTCCCTCAGTGCCTTTTGAAATTTGGGAAAGTTTCGCTGGCAGCCTTCCCTCATGCTAATGATACGCAACTAACTGAGGAGGACGAGGTCCTTGCTGAGATGCGAATGCGATACTTGAGCACGTCGTCGTCGTCGTCCGCCTTTAATACAATGTCTTCGGAGAGCAGAAACCGAGACGGCCAGAAGTTGAAACTTAAATAAGCCAACAGCAGCAACAGCAGCAGCAAGAACAATAACAACAACAAGAAGGATAAGGATGGCAACAATAAGGACATTGCTGTGCGGTTAATGTAACTATATACGGGCACTTGAAGTCCTTGCCGCCATATCGCATGACTTGTCACCTAGTGGCTACATGGGGGATATCTGCCCGATTGGGGATGATGTGTTTGTGGCAGGAGGAAACAGATACAAAGCTGGGGGGGAGGCAGGTCCTTTGAGGCAACACAAAAGTTGCTTTCAATGGGGGGAAAATCAAAGGGAAAAAGAAAGAAAAAGAAAGCAAAGAAAGGTTTATTTCAAAGGGAAAATTTAGAGAGAAATATCTAGAGTTTTTGGTTAAAACTTGTTAATATTTTTCCCAGATTATATTTATTATTTAAAACGGCCTTAAAAGCTATTAAAATCTCTTTTTAAATAGTTGAAAAACCCCTCAACACCTTAGAATCTGAGTCTGAAAGTGAAACCTAAAACCAAAAGATTTGCACAAACTTTTGGTGAAAACTTGCTGCCCGCAAAAACCTAGTGTCATTGTGTTTATTACGGGGAAAAGTTAGTTTGAGTTAAGGGAAAAGTCTGTGTTCGGTTGGTTTAACTGCGAGGGAAAACTTGGCTTAGTAAAAGATGCTTTTCCAGCGTTTCATTTGCTTTTGTTTCTTTTTTTTTCTAAATTTTTTCTAGACCACTTTGCCCGCTCTCTTTTTTTTTAAGTTTTCCCCAGAATGACTGGAAATTTTAATAAACTTCCATCGTCTGTGTGTGTGTGTGTGTGTGCCATGCATAGAAATGTTTTTTTCAAAAGGAAACTTTCAGATGAAAAGAACCGAGAGGAGAGGAAGAGAGTACCAAAAAACCAAAAACCAAAAAATAAAATAAAGAGAGCCCCCACACACACACACACACACACACAGAAAGTAGACCAAAAAGTGAAAGATGATGAAGGCAATTTATTCGAACCCTTAAGCCTTTGATGGGGTGAGTCTTGTATCCTGTAACCGATGAAAGGACCCCGGAGCCAGGGCCATGCATGTGAGCCTAATTGCCGTTGTTTGTCTGAGTCTGAGTCGCAGTCGCAGTCTTGCCCGGCTTCTTGTTCTATTAATTTGCCTAAAAGTTGCTCCGCTGGGATTAAATTAAAGATAGAGAGATGTTCCAGGACATGGGGACTCAAAGGACTCGAAGGACTCTAGGATTCGGACCACGAATCGCTTTGTTTTTATGCATTTGCTACGTGATTTAATTAGTTGACGCCATTTGGCTTGACTTTTTGGCTAATTGCCAGCACGAAGGCATTGCCACAGCATATTGCCTCCACAATTTCACACAATTTCACACAATTTCACACAATTTCCCACGATTTCCCCCGATAACACTACGATAAATTCCCGATAAACGCCGTCCTGTGTGTGTGTGTGTGTGTGTGGCATGGCTTCTATTTACCATTTACTGTTTGCCATGCAAATATTGCCCAACAAAGACAAAAAGCCGCAGTAACAGATTTCAAAGACACAAAGCCCAGGACCAGGGACTCCCGAAATAACTTAGGTTAGAAATCGGGTGAGGAGAGAGGTGTGAGGGGGGAGAAAAAATAAAACAAGAAAGGAAACCTTTGTTACGGCTTCTCCAAAGGACAAAGAACGGATGATTTTTACGGCTCTTGGGGCAATCAGCACAGAGAAGGATCGAGGGGAGGGGAGGGGAGTGTGGCAGAGAAATCAAAGATTTGCCAAATCCCGGAATTCCTCAGTAATTTGTGCAAAAAAATTAAGTAAAATAAATAAAAATTACCTTAAAAATCAAAGATATACAAAGAAATTGTAGAGAAAAAGGAAATCCTATTTGAATAATATTTCCAAACTGTTTTTTGAAATTTTAAAAATATTTTAGATAAATTTTAAATATATTAAAAGTATTTAAAAATCCAAAAAAGTACAAATAAATTATAGAAAAAAAAGAATTATATTTAAAAAATATTTATAAACGGTTTTATAAAATTCCAAAAATATTTTAGATACATTTTAAATAAAATAAAAGTATTTAAAAATAAAAGAATATATAAATAAATTATAGAAAAAAAGGAAATCCTATTTTAAAAATATTTCTAAACTCTTTAAAAAAAAATTCCAAAATTATTCTCCATCAATTTATCAAGAAATTTTATTAATTTATTTTAATTGAACTCTTTTTTTCTCTGTGTATCTAAGGCAACAGGCTGGAGTTGGGTTAAATCCAACTTCGATACAAATGCCCATCGTAATCAGCGGCCATGCGGCGTATACTTGATTTCTGCCAAAGCCACTTGTGCTTATTTCTTGGCAACTTTCCAACTGAGTGCAATTACAGTGGCGTTTATAAGTAAACTAGCTGCTTATATTGAGTATTTTAATGTGAGTTTATTAGCTAAATATAACAAGTATTTTAATTATAATAAATTATTAGATATTTTCTATAATTAAATAGAGATTGTGAAGGTTTTTTCCCACTTTTAATACAAGTTTCTCTTTAGTTTGTTAATTAGTTATTTAATTAGTTTGTTTATTAGTTTGTAATTTAGTATTTATTTGAATTTAGTTATCACCAATGTTTTTATTAGATTAATTTTGGTTTCTTGTTCAAAGTTTAATGTTTTTTTTTTATGCATTTCAAACATTTCAATTCCTTGAATCTCTAGCTCAATTCTATCAACCTCTGGCCTTTATTTGAATTTTTTTTATTTATTTCTTATGCATTTTTTATGCGATTCAACTTTACTGCTCGGCCTGGCCAATTAAGCAATTTTCGCATTCATTTTATTTCACACTCACAGACTTTTTGCTTTCGAGACACCAAAACAAAAAAGAATTTACTTTACTCTTATGATTTTACAGATTGAAAATTGTGGGCGTGGCTAGCCCTATTTTCGAGGGAATTTTCCAAACTATTTCGGCTACGATTTCGGTTAAAAGGAGAAGCGTAGAGGGAAACGTAGAGAGGAGAATTTCGAACGACAATCGACGACGAAAGGCGCCAGGATTAAAAAGGACCATCGACGCGTGGTCCGCTCGCGCGTTTTCCGTGCGTCTACAGCTGCTGGCGTTGTGGGCAGAACTGAACAGGACAGCCCAACGGAGGCTGAAGCTGAGGCTGAAAGTGAAAACTGGAACAGGGAAAATCGGCAGGCGAAGCGACAGTTTACGAATTATCGCAGCAGCAGCAGCAGCCGGCGAGCTTTCAAAACCATCCGCAAGGAAAAGCTGTTGCCCTGTGGCACCCAAGCTTTTTTCCACGGAAAATGCGAAAATCATCGAGCAAAACAAAATCAACGAAAGGCGAAATAAAGCAACATAATCAAGGAAAACTGAAAAGGAAGGAAAGAAAGGAAAGCTCAAGGTATGTGATTTGTTTAAGAACAAAAGATATTTTAGGTTTTGGGTTAAAAAATTTCATTTTTGGTTGGGTTTTTTTTATTTTAAAAAAATGTATAAGCGAGTATATGTAATATATATATTTTTTTATATATATTTAAAAGTTATTAAAACATTATTTTTTCTATTTAATTTTATGTTCTTTCTAAAATCTATTAAAACATTCAATTTCCATTCCTTTTTCTTGGCTTAAACAATTAAATCTCGGTTTTTTCTACTACAAATTTAAAGAATATTAAGTTAAAATGATAATTCAATAATATTTAGTATGAATTTTATTAATTTATTAAAATTACAGCTTTAGTCACAATTATCACACCCAAATCTAGTCAAAATGATGAACAAAAAAGCAGATTCTGTTTCCAGATAATTTCCAGTTTTATTAAAAAAAAATTAAAATACTTAATTTAAAATATATAACAATTATAAGCTAGTTTAACAAGTTCAAAGAAATCTTAAAAATATTTAGTAAAAGGAAAATATAATTATTTGCTCTAAAGCTCTTTTAAAAAGAAGTAAAATAAATCTGATATTAATTAATAATAATAATAAAATAACCAACTACATAAATTATTAAAATAACCAACTACATATAATATAATATAATTATTAATTTTATATTTAAACACAATTTTTTGAGAGTACATATCCACATTTCTATAGCTAGACTTTTATTATTCCCCGCAACGCACGCAGCTGCACAGGTGTTCCAATGGCAGAAGGCACTTTTTAGGGTCCTTGTCAGAAATGAATAATGTGCAAGTCCGTTCCGAGTCGTTGGGGCTGAAGGCAGGTGGGGAGATGGGATCTGCATCACCTGCGGGGCGCGGGGCTTGGGATTTAGGGTTAACCACAGGCTGGGCTGATGAAGAAGGGTTTGCTTGCGCCTGTTTGTTTATGTTTGTTTATGTTTGTTTGTTTGCTTGTCCTGAGAGCGTTTAGCATATTTTTGCGCACCTGAAGAAGCCTTTATCCTTTATGGCGAGGCAGCCAAAGCACCTGAAAGGCAATGACTGCCGCAAGGATGCAGGGGAAAAAAAAACATATAAATTATGCCCCATAGATGGCTTGACTTTGAGTTCTTTTCTAATGGAATAATGCTCCTTCCACAATTTGATATTTTTGTGAAGCAGTTTAGCCTTTGTTTTGTTTCTAAAAATTATGCAGGCAACGTGTTTTTCTCTCTCAAATAAAAAACAAAAGAAATCCCTATCCAGCAACAGGCCCCCGAGAGTCTAAGTCATAAATTTTCGGTTACACCAAAACAGCTTTTCATTGCCATTTCCCAAATGCAGTGGCAAACCCACAGCAAGCTGTTGTCTGACCTATGCAACGCTGCGTATGCTTAATGCCAAGCGGACTGATTTATGCAAAGCTCAAGGAAAGCTCAACGTAAACTCCAAGACAAAGGATAAAGGATAAAGAGAGCGATAAAGAATATGAACGAAGCGGAGCGGGAAAATTGCTTTTCCTTTTGAATATTTTACTGCTTTCTGGGGGAACCCAAGCTTGTCTCACAAAAGCTTTTCTTTCCACAAGCTCTGGCAAGTAGGAAAATTTGCTTTTTCAAACTGAAAACTTCAACGTAAAGCTGGTTTCCCAGGATAGCAACAAAAGCGCTTAGGGAAAGTTCTTTAGAGTGCCATAGTTATATCTTTGCAGGGTATTATAATTTAAGTTATGAGAATATATATATATTTCATATAAATTCTTGACTCCGTCTGGCTACAACAACAAAAAACTATATTTTTACAAACACAAACAGCAAAAGTATATTTTTTGTATTAAGCTTATAAAGACTAACACAAACACGCTTTCTGAATTAAATTTTATGCATTTTTGAATTAGTTATAGAATTGTTCAGCATTGATTTTCCCAAAAATAACAACAAATCCATAAATGGATATAAATGGCTATTCGAAACTGTTCCCAGTCCAAATTTAGCGTAAAAGTATGCTTTAAATTCAGCGTATTGCTGAATTAATAACAGCCCAAAAGATGCAACAGATAGACAGGTAATTTTTAATTGCATACTTTCGCGGTGCACCTATAAAGCAAACTATTGCATTACAAACTGTTCCCAGTATTAGTTCAGCGTAAAACTATGCTTTGCTTTGGCTCTTCTGCTGGTTGCTAATAAAATCAGCCCAAAAGATGCACCATTCTGTGGCCAGAAAATATTTCTTTGCATACTTTTGCGGTGCAAGTACTATTCTCAGTAACTAGCGAGCTGACAGAGCTATGATTTTTTTTAGTTTTTAGATTTGTCCCAAAAATATTGAACCCATTTTTTTCGAAATTTAATAAAATTATAATTTAAAAAAATTCACCAAAAATATAAATATATTAAGTATACAGATTTGTTAATCTAATAAATACTAATATAACGCCTCTTTCCTATTTGAATTTAATGCTTTTTGGCCGATTTACGATATTTTTAAATTTAAGTATTTCTAACAAAAAATGCAGGTAAGAAGTTTTTTAATCTAAAAAATCAGATTTTATAATACAAAATAATATTTTTTCAAGTGAAGGAATTATTTCCGACCCCATAAACCCTATATATTCTTGATCAGCATTCAAATGCGAATCGTTTAAGCCATGTTTGGAGGAAAACAAATTTTGAGCCATTTTTTCGAAATTCGATAAGGGGTTACATCATTAAAATTCTCAGATTTTGGCCAAAATTTGAATTTTTTAAATAATAAAATTAAGTATGCAGATTTATAGAACTAAGAAAAACTAGCACAAAACCGTTATCCAAATAGAAATTAATGCATTTTTGGCCGAATTATGATATTTTTTCTCCTATAGAAAATGTTGGACCTTTTTCCAAAATTTGATAATGGTTTACATCATTAATATTTTCAAAAATTCACCAAAAATTTAAATTAATTGTATACGTCAAATAAAGTATGCAGATTTGTTAACCTAATAAATACCAACATAACACCACTTCCCGGTTGCAAATTAATGCGTTTTTGACAGAGCTATTTTATTTTATTTATTTATTTTTTTATTTATTTTATATTATTTATTTTTTTTTTTATTTATTTTATTTTATTAGTGGTGCAGGGATACGGCGGAGCAGGGGTTCCGGCGGCGGAGCAGGACGGCTGCAGCAGTGCAGGGATGCAGCGGAGCAGGGATTCCGGCGGCGGAGCAGGATGGCTGCAGCAGTGCAGGGATACGGCGGGACAGGGGTTCCGGCGGCGGAGCAGGACGGCTGCAGCAGTGCAGGGATACAGCGGAGCAGGGATTCCGGCGGCGGAGCAGGATGGCTGCAGCAGTGCAGGGATACGGCGGAGCAGGGGTTCCGGCGGCGGAGCAGGACGGCTGCAGCAGTGCAGGGATACAGCGGAGCAGGGATTCCGGCAGCGGAGCAGGGCGGCTGCAGCAGTGCAGGGATACGGCGGAGCAGGGATTCCGGCGGCGGAGCAGGATGGCTGCAGCAGTGCAGGAATACAGCGGAGCAGGGATTCCGGCAGCGGAGCAGGATGGCTGCAGCAGTGCAGGGATACGGCGGAGCAGGGATTCAGGCGGCGGAGCAGGATGGCTGCAGCAGTGCAGGGATACGGCGGAGCAGGGATTCCGGCAGCGGAGCAGGATGCAGGATGGCTGCAGCAGTGCAGGGATACGCCGGCGGCTGCAGCAGTGCAGGGATACGGCGGAGCAGGGATTCCGGCGGCGGAGCAGGGCGGCTGCAGCAGTGCAGGGATACGGCGGAGCAGTGCAGGGATATGGCGGAGCAGGGGTTCCGCGGCGGAGCAGGACGGCTGCAGCAGTGCAGGGATACAGCGGAGCAGGGATTCCGGCAGCGGAGCAGGATGGCTGCAGCAGTGCAGGGATACGGCGGAGCAGGGATTCCGGCGGCGGAGCAGGATGGCTGCAGCAGTGCAGGGATACGGCGGAGCAGGGATTCCGGCGGCGGAGCTGCACTGCTGCAGCCATCCTGCTCCGCTGCCGGAATCCCTGCTCCGCTGTATCCCTGCACTGCTGCAGCCGCCCTGCTCCGCCGCCGGAATCCCTGCTCTGCTGTATCCCTGCACTGCTGCAGCCATCCTGCATCCTGCTCCGCCGCCGGAATCCCTGCTCCGCCGTATCCCCTGCACTGCTGCAGCCATCCTGCTCCGCCGCCGGAATCCCTGCTCCGCTGTATCCCTGCACTGCTGCAGCCGCCCTGCTCCGCCGCCGGAATCCCTGCTCCGCTGTATCCCTGCACTGCTGCAGCCGTCCTGCTCCGCCGCCGGAATCCCTGCTCTGCTGTATCCCTGCACTGCTGCAGCCATCCTGCATCCTGCTCCGCCGCCGGAATCCCTGCTCCGCCGTATCCCTGCACTGCTGCAGCCATCCTGCTCCGCCGCCGGAATCCCTGCTCCGCTGTATCCCTGCACTGCTGCAGCCGCCCTGCTCCGCTGCCGGAATCCCTGCTCCGCTGTATCCCTGCACTGCTGCAGCCATCCTGCTCCGCCGCCGGAATCCCTGCTCCGCTGTATCCCTGCACTGCTGCAGCCGTCCTGCTCCGCCGCCGGAATCCCTGCTCTGCTGTATCCCTGCACTGCTGCAGCCATCCTGCATCCTGCTCCGCCGCCGGAATCCCTGCTCCGCCGTATCCCTGCACTGCTGCAGCCATCCTGCTCCGCCGCCGGAATCCCTGCTCCGCTGTATCCCTGCACTGCTGCAGCCGCCCTGCTCCGCTGCCGGAATCCCTGCTCCGCTGTATCCCTGCACTGCTGCAGCCATCCTGCTCCGCCGTCGGAATCCCTGCTCCGCCGTATCCCTGCACTGCTGCAGCCGCCCTGCTCCGCCGTCGGAATCCCTGCTCCGCCGTCGGAATCCCTGCTCCGCCGTATCCCTGCACTGCTGCAGCCGCCCTGCTCCGCCGCCGGAATCCCTGCTCCGCTGTATCCCTGCACTG